AGACAGACAGACAGACAGACAGACAGACAGACAGACAGACAGACAGACAGACAGATTGATAAATATAGACAGACAGACAGAGAAGACAAACACGATAGCAACTAAACTCAGCATACACAAGAGCACACACACACACACACAAACACACACACACACGCACACACATACACAGACACACACACACACATACCATTCAAAGTATAAATACACTTGGCCCCCAACACACAGAGCAGAAGGCCTCTATTGAGCGCAAAACAAATAAAAACACACCCAAAAAAATCGAAATACTCACACGCATATGCAATCCATATTGATCCAACTGATCTACAAATCTCTGTCCAATGCATGCGTAGCCAAATAAAGGAACACAATTGGCGTTACCGACACTTCATGCTTGAAGACCAGAATTCTAATGAAGACACAGCTGTATTTACAACTTCTTTATAATACGTAGAGCAGAGTATTGCTTTCCTTGACCGTGACTACAATCCTGATGAAGATCCCGGCTGTTCGAATGCTCCAAATTATGGTACCACACTTTGATCTCCCTCTTTTGTTCTTGTAAGAAATGTTGCAGAAACAATTTCCTCAAACTGCTCTCTTTCACGTTATGAGCTGCACTTTGTTCCAGAGAATTTTATAACAACACGAAAACGTCGCGATCTGAATGGTATTAGAAGATACGATAGGGGCTAAAGGAATTATGACAATCGGCTACAGAGCACACTTTAGAGTGCAACATATTATGTAATAAAGAGAAACGTGGCAACAGCTTTGCTTGAACTATTATTGTATACTCTTTCGAACTATTCTTTATTCACAATCCCGCAAGACTTCCATCAAACAGTCGATGTGAACGAGTGAAGTGTGAAGAGAAGCACATCGACGCAATAACGGCCATTTAGTGCAGGAAAAAAAGTAAGACAGATAGACAGAGAAAACAGAGGAAAAGAAAAGAAGTAGGACATGATACCAGTGGCGACCTCAAACCACCCACTCGAAGAGTTGTTAATAAAGTCGTTAATTATCCCGGCCTTTTCCATAATATGTGGAAGTTCTCGGAGTATGCTATTTTTTTTATCTACCCCTGCCTCTATTTCCTCATAGTTTTTCATGGCGCTCATATTACCTTATGCAGTTGCGAGAGCCGTAAAACCCTCTACTATAAAATAAATAGTTTTTCAGTTAGAACAAGCTGTTCATAATATTACGTAATTCCAAAAAAGAGGTGGCACCAATAGCCATTAGTTTTAGCTCTCTGTATTGTATTATATGTACGCACGTGTGTATGTGTGTGTGTGTGTGTGTGTGTGTGTGTGTGTGTGTGTGTGTGT